TTACCAAAACTTAAAGTAAGCCGCGGCTTATTTTCAAGGTTTTAGGGTATTTTTAAAAGGAGATGGATGAACAAGACGAATGATAAGTTCATGCGCAACAAACATGATGTCGATTTCAAATTTTTTTTAAAAACTAAATTGTACAGTAATGAAAATGAAAGTAAAATGTGATCTAAACATCCAGATATGTACATTGTATATGTAAACAAATATATGTATTGAGTGTTTCATTTAGTCAGAAACCATACAAGAATCCCGAAGAAAATATGCAAGATACTGTAAATGTACTATATTTAGCGTCTATATTTTGGCGGAAATTAATTTTTGAAGAAGTTAGCGTAGGTTTGATTTAGCACATTTCTTCATATTCTTATTGATGTGTATATGTGCAAGATATTTAGCTTTATACTTGACTTAGCGATTGATGCGTTCCGCCAAAGCTGATTAAAAGAATACGAAGCCAAATATAATTCGTTTACAGTAACCCTTGATATAAAAGACAAATAAATAATTTTTGGAAGAGCTGTGCGATATTACAGAAATAATTTTAAAAAATCATTTAAACAGATACAATAAAATGAATCATCCTCACGCCGTGCTCAAAGAACGTACAAAAAGTCCTTACATAGCGTTTGTATTCAAAGTCTCTTACATTGGTGTTTTAAGATATGACATCAATTTCAGTACTATTTAGTCTTGTTCTAGGTCTATTTACTTTGAAAATTCGTTCAAGAATGTTACGCAATTGTAATTTAATCTGTCGGTTTAAAATTGAATAAACAAATGTGTTAACCGAATAATTTAACATTGCGAGATAAAGTGAGATCATGTGAATCCAAATACTTATTCTACTCACACTAGGATCTGCGAAACAAAAAATAAGATACGGGAGATTCAAGACAAAAAAGAGTGAAATTAGCACTACTGTTGATCGACGTACTTGTTTTTCATTCTTTTGCCGCTGAGCATTTTCGAGCTGCATTGCGTTCACTCGTTTGTTGCTCAATTTTATTTTCCGCAGAATTTCAATGTAACAAAATAAGATAGTTGGAAAATATAAAACGAATGACGAGCATATAGCAAAATATCGAAATGCATCATCCCTGGAGATAAGCGGACTGCAAGTAAGTCTCAGTTGGTCGAACTTGAATTTTCCCCAAGCCTCTGTCAGGGGAAGAAAAAACATTGCAGGAGCAGAGAGCCATGTAGATACTAAGATGATCCTTGTGTTACGAGGTCTGTAAATGGCTTCATAATGCGTAAATCGTACAATAAGTACATAACGATTTAAGGATATTAACGTTATATTCGTCAAAAATATTCCAAGCAAACTATAAAGAATAAATCCAGAAACAGCGCAGCTTGGACCACTTTGAAAGGTTGAGGAAAACGTAGGCAAAAGAAACACTGGAAAACCCACGGAACTGATCAGAAAATTCCCCACAAACAGATTCAACATGAATGTGAATGTTTTCTGTCGATGAAGTCCGCTTTTTATAATCACAACTATGGCAGTTAGGTTTGTAATAGTTCCCACTGCAGAAAGGGATAAGGTTATGATTTTGTGCAGTGTTAAATTCCACGACACCTCGGACCCATAACTTTGTACATTACTTATATTCGACAAAGACATATTTCTCTTACTAGATGCGAATAATAAATTTTAAGGATTTTTATATATTTACCCTGTAGTTCGTCTGAGAAAAAAAAAGAAAAGAGAGAAAATTAATTAAGATTGATTTTGTAATGTTCATGTTTTCCTCAACTGATGACTGATTCCGTTTATTGATATTTGTCGCCAAATAACTTTGATCAAACAGAAATGGTCTTTGTAGCTTATTAAAACATAGGAAATTTCAGTCCATATCTCTTTATTCTCTAGATTACAAGACGCAGAGAGTTTCTCTTCGTTAAGAGTCCTTTATCTTTTTTTTTTCAATTATTTTAATCACATTTCCTCGCCGAAATATGGCTTACATATATTGCCAACTCTGTGCTAAACAATAACAATTGATCAATCAATCAATCAACCAAATTACCTTGGAGTAATTTGCATATCATAATCAAGTCTCTCAAGATGTAAGTTCTGAGAACATTTTGAGAAACATAATAATGTAATTTTACACTTGAATAGTGTTTAATGTATATACTTTACATATTAATTAGACTAGTAATCAGAGTTGCTAAAAGTCTTTGTGGCTCATTGATTGTCTTTTCATTTAATTAGGGGCCATGTTGTAACCATGAGATTGCGACAGTCGGAATGGGGTCCACTGGACACGTGGGCAGTCTCCAGAATATATGTTGGTCAACATTGTCCCCAACACTGCAGCGGTCACGGGAAATGTGAAGAGGGCGTGTGTAGGTAAATTGTCCAGTCATATATGTACGCATATTAAGGCATAATATTTGAATTTGCAAATGTTTTCCTTTATATAACACTACTTAAAGCAATGCGTATCTAAAACTATAATACCGGTACGGGGTCAAGAGGTCATAGATGTGCGTATGGATAAACGTTCGACGTAGTTTCTCAGTGACATAAAGGGTCGACGCGCGTTCAGTGGATTACATACGCCTGTACATGCCACTGGGTTTGTAAATAATGCATTTCACACGTTAAAAGTCACAATCAGGCAAATAGAAAGTATAAATAAGTCACAAATGTAAATATAAGTAATAAAGTATCATTTTGAAACATCTATCGGACTATAAATACGGGTTGGTACGAGATTAAATTCATCTTTATGGAAATTAATCTCGTGACCAATCCGTATTTATATCCCGATAGATGTTTTAAAATGATACCTCATTTCTTAAATTACGTCTCGAATTTGTACAAGCCTTTTTCTTAACATATTCATGTTTTACAGTTGTGATCCAGGATACACTGGGTCAATATGCAAGCCTAGGAGAAGAATAGATGAAACAATGCAGGCTGACTTTGGTATTCGTTACGAACCTGACTCCGATTTTATAGACATCTTTGGTGGAGAAGTTATTGGGGGTGATAAAGGTTGTGGAACATTGCTGTCAGGAGAAACACTATATTTTTCCGATGTACGAGAATTAATTTTATTCAACAAGCACGAGTATTACATTTCATCTCTTTTTCTACATATAAAGATAACCAACGTTAAAAGATTCATGCTATATTCTGAACATTTCAAAATTACATTTTATCTCATAAGCTAAGAAGATAATATGCGTAAAAGTATGGTTCAGTTTTGAATTGCTTTTTTGAAGTACATTTATATAAGTTTTGTAATTTACTAATGATGACGGCAGTCTTATTGATATATGATTTTTCAACTTTGAAAAGAACGGCGTGAGAGAAGCTCAGACAAAGGACTTGAACACGGAAAATGAGGATTATATAGAGTTTTACCTGAGGATAGGAGGGGGACTTCCAGATTGTGACGGGGGAGAAACCCCAGAGGAAGGGGTCGTTCTCCAGTACTCCACGGACGGGGGAACCACGTGGAAACTGCTCAGGGAAATGACTCCAGAAAAGTTCAGGAAAGCAAAGTAATCCTACGTCTTGAACCTGCAATAATATAATTGTGATTTAAATAGTCTTTTATGCGTATCTTTACTGAAATTTGACATAATGTCTTATTTCATGTAAATTTTTACATTTCTCAATACTGTAAACCAGCTTTATAATTTCTCACAGCGATCCGGTCATAAAAGGCTCTGTTTCTATTAAAAATAGATAATTATAAAGGCTAAAAGCCTTGTTAGTGAAAACTAATCATTGCAAACTAGTTTACCCTTGGTAAATTGCGAAATAAAGTCGTCGCAAAAAAAAATTGGTTTACAGTATTCATTAGAAATCCCAATGTACATGTTTATACAAAATTTACATTTCTTTTTATCAGATTTGTTCACGTGGTGTTGCCTGAAGACGCCCGTTCTCCTTTGACTCGGTTTAGATGGTGGCAGCCCTTCCATTCCGGTGGAGGAACTGATCAGTGGGCTTTGGACGAGATACGTGTGGGTCATTATGAAGGCAGAAGGACAGTTGAAGATAATTTTAACGTAAGTCAAGAAAATTTAATTTTTTGATTTTGCAGTCATATTACTTACTGTAAATTTACATGCAAAGCATGGGGATACACAATTGTAACAGAAAACATTCAATTTTGTAAATTTGTGACTGAATAAAACGATAAAGACATTTAATACCGGTAAGCTATATAAATAGAAGGAATCAATTTTGCATTTTGATGATATATATTTAGAGTCATACTGTTCCATTTCACAGAAAGTGAATTTTTAACTATATTAATAGTTTTATACAGAAAGAGTTCCGTATTTTAAATTAATTTTTCCTCTTTCTTTAGACGCAGTTGAATGCAATAGATAAAGGTGTTTGGTCCACCATAACAGAAGGCATTCTGGGTAAATACTGCCAAAATCGAGACAGAGCTCTGATTCTGGCCAATCAGGAGAACGACAAGTTTGTCGTCACTAAAGACCTAAACTTAGAAGCTGGTGACGTCATACAATTCAGGGTTTGTCTTTATGTTTACAATATTAGTGGAACAATTATTTTCTCTTTTTTCGAGAATTCAAAAATGCACATCGTACTTAAAACTTGAGGGAAATAATCCAACATGGGTTTTTAAAATTCATTTAAATAATCAATCCGTCAGTAAATCCGTCAAATTCTAAGATATCAATGATAGAAAGGTGCATCAGGAGAAATGGGAAATTTCTCAGTTGTGTTCATTTCTTAGGAACCTTAAGATCATTTTTCAAAAGAGGACCAATTTGTATGCATTATTAATAAAAGTTAACAATGCAGAAAAAACGAATCTTTCCTTTGCTTTTACATGACATTTAGCTGAAAGATATCACATTGGTAAAAAGTACATTATACTTTTCATTGTTGTTTAACTATATTTCATTATAGCAGTTTCATTATAAAGCAACACAAAACAGATTTTGTTCATATATTGAGATCTTTAAACGTGGGTGTATGGAATTAATGAGTTTTTTTGTAACTGCAGATCAATGTTGGTTGTAGTAACCAGTTCCGTTGGGACCACATAGTCATGTTGGACTACAGTCACGATGGCGGTCAAACATGGCGGTTACTAGAAGACCCGTGTTACCAGGAAAATGATTGTGACGGGAAGTACACGGAGGGAACCATGTATTACTCCGGTCCACATGGTTACTGGCAAACCGTGGTTATACCAGTCACAGAGGAGTTAGCCATGCAGTATGTTATCCCTTTGTTATTCATTTGAATGAAAATAAAATTATTTGTATTTGTTTGTACTTAATTAGAATTAAAATGCATTTCATTTAAGTTTGTTAACGTATTATTGAAAATGTTTAATTGAAATGCAACCGGACTATTATCTCCTGTTAGGGGAATCAAGATTCAACTTCTAGAAAAAGATTTGAAAATATTTCGAATCATCGGAAAATCTATTCATTTAATGATTTTTTTTTTTGTTACAGTCCAGTTATGTTGAGATGGTGGCAACAGGGTGGATATCCATTTAACTTTGGACTTGATGATGTTTACGTGGGACCCCCCTGTGAGAAGAACTGTCATAGAAATGGTGTCTGCGAACAGACCGATTGTGTATGTGATGAAGGATTTAAAGGTGAAGAGAAACTGAATTAGACATTAACATATTTAAATCGG